CAAATTTTGTCACTTTTGCTACTCCTCATCGACGTGCCGGGCCATCTAGAGAGCTCTTTCATATGCTTACAAGAGTTCACAGGTTTCACCAGAGTGAGACTTGTAAAACTAGTGAAGCAGCGGATGTGCAAGATGCCCCCTTTAGCCGAACTGCGCTTAAGATTTTCTTGTCACATGTCTAATTTTGCTCATCTACTCTCCTTTGGGATGTACCCTATTTACGATTTCCGAACGGGAAAATGGAAGCTTTTGCGTGCCTATTTTACCCAGACAGTGGCATCTACTACTCAGTAGTTACTCACTTCAGTGCTATCTGCACTGCTTTTCATCGCTTTTATCTTCCTTGGCAATCAAGAACACATTCCACCAGTTCTCGTGGGCGGAGTGTGGCCTTTCACTATGCTTTTCCACTGGCACACCCTCCTCTTTACCGCCCTTTCAAAGAAAGGACGCACTGACAACAGGAAGGGGCGCAAATGTGGAGCCTGAATCCGCCCATACACTGAACATGGACTATCTAGTGTACTCCAGGCGAAAACCTTGTTGCGCAGCACTACGACCACGATTTTTTTTTGAGGAGAATTCACCCAAACGAAAGTAGACTGAAGATTAGGGGCAGTGGAAACTGAAGTCGTTGAACCGTGTTGTGAACTCTGGTAATCCGCCTTTATATATAGCCCCTTGGAAGCCGAGCTCAAAGTCCTGTTCGGTGGTGTCAGGGGCGGGGATTTTGGCACGACGTCAACACCTTTTTTACCAACTGTGGTCGCTATCCAGATTCCAAGAGAACAGGCTGGGGATACGCTAAGCCCACCCCACCCTTGACATGCTCCAATATCCTCAGCGAACTAGGCTATGCTGTTGACGGATATGATTAAGAAAGGTAAAAGCACGCGTTCAATTAGTTGAAATTGTTCCGTTGGTCCGAGATGTGCTTCGTTCTGGATGGTCCTGCAGAAGTCTTGAGGAACCACTCAAATTCATTACGAAATGGAATTTCATGTAGGAACCGGCTCCGAGCGTCTTCCTCAAAACTGTCAAAGGGACAGTCCGTACTGAATCACATGGATGGAACCATACCCGCCTAACCCACTCCACACTTTCTATCCCTCATTGGCGCGTCCTTCCTGTTTAACATATGTTTTAGCACGGAAGAACTCCAGAATGGGGGTAGTCCGACTCCGCCCAAAGGAATGAAATTCGCGTGAAATGTCCTTCATGCATGTGGTACGGTAGACTACAAACACGAAAGGTTGGGTCAGAAGCAAAAGTTTAAGCAATAGGTTAATGGCTGGAATCTGGAGCTGAGACTTGCCACCTCTTTACAAAAGCGCAAACATTTACCTTATCGACGGTTTTCCAGCTGTTGTTTTTGAAGATCATTCTGCTTACTTGTGCTTTCTATAAAAATAAGGATTTGAAATTTCTGAATCTAGCCATTATTGATCTCCTGTTCTATTTGGTTTTTCTAGCAAAAGTGTCTGCTGTGGAACGTGCCTGATTCCCGGTTACCCTACCAATAGGAACTTTCGGCTGCAGGGACTGGTGAGATTCTGAAAATTTGACTGAAATTTAATGAAATACTTCCAGATTATTGCCAACAACGTTTCGAGGGCAAAATCGTCAGGGCGGGTGTTGAGGAGTCTCAACTGCTTAATATACAAGGTGAAAGGGCCACGATTCAAAATGGTGAGCACTGACTCGAGCGGGGCACGCTCCAACAGGGTAACGCCCGCGGCCAGGCGTTTTGTTAGAGCGCGGTTGAGCGTGGCTGGAGCTTTCTCCGAACAAGAGCGTACGACGTTAATCGTCGATTTTCAATAACGTACTGCCCTTCGTCTCTGTTGATGAGTTGCATTGTGTGTGCGCGCTTAAATGGAATAGTCCGCTAGAAAGCTGCGGAATCACCACAGTTCAAATGAAATGACGTCGTCCAGCGCCGCACGGCGCGAAGTCGGCAGGGGGAGGAGTTTCATTCTTTGCGGGGGGCGGGTGGTCGGAGGAGAGGGGGGGGGGGGAAAGGGATGACGCCTGAGGACTTGATTTATAAAACCGCGAAAGCGATATTCAGGGTAAGCGGGTGTGGCGCGGATGTTTGTGCTCGTATTTCCGCTGCTCCCTGAGTGTTGTAGACACTGCTTCAAAAGTGCATTTCGCGATGATGGAGTGGGCGGAGACTGATAGGTGAAAGGGGAAACGTGCCATTGAGATGCAATGGTTATGAGTCCCCGTCCATAGGAGGTGGAAAGTCGTAAGTAATTGTAAGAAGGATACCTCTGGTTGTAGGCTTGGATCCATGTCTGGATCGCGCATGATGCTACCCAATCCACCTTCTCGAATTTTACCGCAACTAAATGAAGAAAACGGTGAAATGGAGAAAGTGAAAACATGTGGAACTTCCTAGAAGTTTCATTTCTATGCAGAAGGCTGAAACTTTGCTGAATGAGAAATCTCTGAAATCGATAAAGGTTTTGACATGTGGGCAAGTCTTGGTTCCCAAAAACGGCTCGAACCTTTCTTTTTTTCGGATTTTGTACGAACGGTGATTGCCGATTTACGATTTTGCCCGTGTGAGACAATGTCCGTCGTCTCACATGTCCTCTTGTGGTTTCAAAATTTCTCTGCACTCTCATCTACGCGAGCAGCATCTCGCATCTTCGTGTGCTCGCCCAGTACGGTCTGACTTGAAGATGAACTGTACGCTCATCTCCGTAGATTCTGGACCTCTCCGTGTGCGGGCGTGAGAGGGCGCAGACAAGTAAAGCGCTTGACTATCGTTAGATGTGTAGGTGGTTGTGCACCAGCGTGGGCGGAGTCGTGAGACCTCACCTGGGTATCATTAACCTTCAGTCCCGTTTCCGTGCACTTTTGAGCGGAGAAAACGGCCTACCTCAGCTGCGGACCCATCTCACACCTGGCAACAATCAGGATCTACGGAGAGGAGCGTACAGTTTGCCTTCAAAGTATTTGCGACAATCTTCTATGCTTGTTTCTTTTCTGGTCAGCCAACAAGAGATTCCTATTTGGACCACGCTATTCAAGAGAAGAGCCCTTTGCATAAACTGAACTGTCAATTCCGACACACAAAAATCAATTTTCCATGATGGACCCCAACCTGCAAGGAAATTTTAACAATACAGCTCTAACACATACCCAAGCCCTTCCGAAAAGCCCGCATAGTCTGAACTGTTTTGCTGGAACGGGAAGCAAATTAGTATTACTACTGGACGATAGTGCCGATAGCACTCACAGTCGGATCCATGGCGGACCACGCCTGGGCTTGGCCAGCTCCTTCTCGACCAGACTCAGTTCCTGCTTTCTGCATTTCATCTCGCTTTTTTATAGCATTGTTCTGTAAGCATAAGTGATGATGGATGGAGGAAAAG